GCTCAATTTGACGCAACCACCATTTGAGAATAGTTGACATTGCGTATAAGGTTGTGGGTGGTTAATAATTGTCATTTCGAGAGGTTGTCGACCTTCACATCTAAAAGTAATTTTGATATTTCTTGCATAAGCCGTTCCCCTGCCCAACTAAATACACCAAGTAAGACAAAGTAGAGTTAACTTGAAGAAAGATTAAATTGACCAGACGGTGATACGGTATTAACCGATGAAGTTCTCAACGTTTGGTTTTATTCATGTATGAGATGCCTGGATGATTTTGTGCAGTTCGGAGTAATCAGTCGTTACTGATTCTTATTGATACGGATTAAGTGTTCACATTATCACATAAATATCCATTACTTACATTACCATGTTTAAAATCTTGAATATTTTTACCCACCTTCATTTATTAGTCGGTCTTAAACTATTACAGTTTTACCAACTTTAATGTGTTGCCTTTTCTATCTACTTAATCTTTGTATCCTGCTGAAAAGTGTGACAACTTGAACTCATGCATATCTCTGTCGGCTTTTCCATGTATTTGTCTGTTTATCTATTTATCCCTACATATATAAATATCAAATGATTGAATATATAATTGTCTCAGAGAATTTATATTTGGCTAAAGAATCGTAGTCAGTTATCTGAATTGATATAGAACTTTTAGGTATATGATATGCAAATTACAGCTTTCATTACTTCTTTTATCTTTTTGATACTTAAATTTCATTCTCAGTCATGAAAATATTTCAATCTCGACAAACATAAAAGATATTAATTCTTATCAATTTTTTAGCTTTTATCACTCAGACCTATGAATGCATTCTTCCACTCCACTTTTTTCATCTTCTTGTTTAGATTCTCATCATTTATTTTAATTAGTTAGAGTGAATTCGTTTATCACTTTTATTTAGTAACATCTAGGATGCTAAAAGAAATGCATATCACTGATAATCAAGCTCAAATTCGACAATTCATTTTTCCTGTTTTTGTAGTTAGAGATGTGAATATGAGATGGTATAGGTCAGTATTTTTGTAAAGTCTTTGAATAGTATGCCTGTGAAATTGTTAAACAAGTCTCCTCATCTTTTTATAAGATAGAAAAGAGATGACATTTTCGCGATGATCACTTAGCGAGTAGTCCTTCGGAGTCTGTTGCAATGTCTTATGCTTGAATTACAGTTGATGCAGTAGGGCTATTTGATTTCCTAAGTAAAATAAAAGAAAAACTATAGATTTCACAGACAGTTTAGCTAAACTCTGATAAAACGGTATATGCTGATCATTCTTAGCAATTTAAATAAAACAGTAAACAATCAGGAAGTGCCTCTAAAATTAAACATAGTGGATGTCGTAAATTGTATCTACGGAACTAAATACTAAACTCAGTTAGCTACTGAACGGAACAAATGATTTTAGAGATACTGAAAACAAAAGTGTGACAGTTATTCCTTAATGTTCAAAACCTGAAGACAAAGACATAGTTTATCGTTCACTTAAGCGACAATACCACAAGCTCCTTGAAAGTGAGAATGAAATGTATACTATTATCGTTTAACCCATGATAACATAAATTTCTGAAACTTGCAGGAACACTGGAACCTAATGGTCCGAAACTTAACAGTAGCTAGGCTTCTCAAAAACAAAAGCATATATATATATATATATATATATATATATTCGCCTTGGTTTCCGCATATAAACCAGTCTGATGTTTACACTAATAGTCATGTAGTTTTTGTCAAGACTGTAAAGTGTGTCGCCTGGTGATGAAATTTACTAAGAATCACAAGCTGTCTTGCAGCAGACGTTTAAGCTGCACATCACGACATTTTGAATTCGATTTCCACTCATTTTTGATCTTAGTTTATAGTGAGATTATATACCAGTAAAATTAATTCATATACATGTCCATGAAAATGTTGTTTATTTCTAAGAAATTAACAGATATCTACTCTATCAGCATAGAATAATGAACTATAAGATAATATGAAAGTAAATTGAGTATATTAGTTATGATGTTCATCAATAATAATGTTAACTCCATTTGCATATTGAAACATTAAAAAACAGAACACCAGAGCTGGGAAAGTGTGATACAAATATTTTAATGTTTGCGAAATCGATTGCGAAATGAAACAGAAAAAAGCCAAGCAGAGGATATATATGTGTAAAATGCTATAATAATAATTTTTTATTATTAGTATTGGCAACAATTACGTGTTGTTTTTAAAAGCATAATGACATAAGAATAAGAAAAATAAATATCTACTTTTAGAATTTCAGTGATAATCCAACAAAAACCTTGACTATGACTAGCACCAGGGGCATAGACGGGATATCAAACATATATTGTATGTTTCCAATCAGCTTATTAGCTATATTTTAATTCATAAGTCAAATATATGGGTGAAACATGCAACCTCATGTCACTACTTTACTCCTTACAGTGGAGTAATTTAGACAGCTAGAGCAAGTATGGCTGTACTGCGCCTGATCAACATATCACGTCTGTTATGGGGCTGGCTTTCATCATGAATGGATATCAGTTTGAGAAACACTGGAGACCTGGGAGCTTTGGACGGGTGTTTCATCCTAGCACGAGACTCTTCAGCAGTGCTCATCCATGATCCTGCCATGGACAGAACACAGGACCTTCCGTTTCCTCACCCACTACGCAACCATTGGAACACTGGGTTAGGATCTAATGGTCCATATTTCCTACTTCTGTCACTTAATGGTATGTCGTGACCCACACCCAATGCTGTCATCGAAACGGATGTCAGGAGCTCCTAGGTTCCCAGTGTCCCCCGAACTTAAATCAGTTCATGGTGAATATCAACCTGAAATTAATAAATAAGTCCCCACAAACTTCCAAATTCGATGTCTGTATTTTATACTGTTTGCGTATACGTGGCTCAGAGTTATTTGTAGACACATCTAGGTTTGCTTAGCTGCATCCTTTTTAAATAATGTTTTATTCCTCTCATTATCAAAACTTGTATACGCATCTGCACTACTGATGAGCAGTAGGATCATATATCTGTTCACCTTTTTGCTGATAAAAGTCACAAAGTTTAATTATGTTAGATTTTGGTATTTTAATTACTCCTTTATCATCTCTATAGGATAGAAATTAACATGAGTTTTTCTCCAATATCACTGTTTTGAAATTTCTAGTTTAAATATATTCTAGTATAATTCCCAGTCAACAAATCATTTAACAATTAATACATTGAAATCGCCTGCAAAATGTTCAGTAGTCTATATGTTTACTAATTCTTTATAAAACATCACTTATTCTCCAAAACTTTCCTTGCATTTAAAAGAATGGCTTAGTAGGCTGTTTTGTGTATTTATAATAGAAAAGGTCTTCGGTTTCGAAGAATTTTAAAATCCTTATCTTTTGCTAGAAACAATTGATGGAAAAGATTAATTAATATTCTATATAAATCTCTGGAAGTATAATATACAAATGATTAGGTAAATTGTCTTATGTTTAGTTTCATAAAAAATTAACAATAAGCGCTTACAGTGAGGTAAGGGCTTAGTGAATATATATAAAAAGAACATGGAGTTAATCTGTCTCAGCCAGTATTGTCCACTGGTCACAAAAAGTGTTTGAAGCTACCAGCTTGACTCAATGGTTGGTTCGGTTCCCGTAGTTGGACTATTTGAATAACCTTATCTTATGCATACTCAATCAAACCAATAATTTTCGAACAGCACTCAAAAGCTGCTTTTCTTTGCAACAAAAGATATATAGACATCCTAACCACTATGTCAATAAAATTCCGGAAAAATAGATGTATAGTTTTGAAGATGCTTATTGGTAGATTTGAATCCCATGATATTCGAACTCCACTCTATCCTGATTTCACTCCGGCTTCCTATACGGTTTTAGCCTGCCCAAAATAAAGCTTCAATTTTCCACCAGCATGGTTTTTGTGGTTTCTTAGTGCACTTAGTTGAGTCTCAGCAGTATCCATTCAATAACTTTATCTCAAAACAATAATGTTACAAAAAGAATAGTTTTTTAATGTGTTTTCATGAAATGTTGCATGTTCAGTAGTGATGTAAACAGTGAGCTAGCGGAATACGTGACACTGTTGTGCAACAAGACTCTTTGTAAGCATGAGCTCAACATAAAAAAGTACAGAAATCTTGGATGGCGGGAAAACTAATCTGAAAGTGTATATTTACAAGCATACTGCGGAAACCAGTCAGCGATTATTGGACGTGTTAGCCTGGTCTAAATATATTTTCTCCACCTTTGATGCGAAAGGTAATAGCTTATTGATGAAATAAAATGCTGCCAAAATAGTCTTTAAAAATACTTATGCAAGAGATGTAACACTATTACTGCAAGCAGCTGTGTTTGAGAACATCAAGGGGTACTATCAATCCAGATATGAAGGTCTACCTTTATCCTACTTCTTTATTTCTATATAGAAGGCATCATTAAGTGAAATTATGGAAGTTCCTAGCCAATACAATCTAATGAGAAGGTTCAACATAGAAACAATATCCGAACTACATAAGTTTAATAGGATAATTTTAGCTAATAACATGACGCAGGCAGCATAATACCATACAGTACCTTCATTGCCTTGGTTTCTGCTACAGATCTTTGGAGACAATAATATTCCTACGGTTGCAATGTGTACTGCTAAACAGATTGGCTTGTCTTTTTAATAATTTAAGCCCAGTGTATGGTACAAACCATATTACATAGACTTCAAAAGTTCTCTTATTATGTTGCAGTCATGTTATGGGACTTCTGCTGATACAAAACTGGAGAAGGGCTATATATATATATATATATATATATATATATATATATATATATATATATATATATATATATATAAACATTCAATAAAATATATCTATGATGAAGAAAAACTGTTTTTCTGGTGAGAATTCTGGATACTGCATCACCAATTTTAAAATCTTAACTTTTTTCTAACAACTTCCATGATTTTATTTATCATTGTTAGCATCACTTTCCAAAAATACAAGAATTCAGTTCACTCCCTGTCCTTTTCCTGGTGGATTCCAGATAACAAGTATGGACAGAATTGACTCTGAAAAGGTGAGTGAACTAATTTGTTTATTCTACCAAATGAAAGCGTCAAGTAGTAGACTGATCTACATGTGCATAAAGCTCATGACTGCAGGCAAAAGTTTTGTTACTGTAGTATTTAATTCATATTTACTAATAAAGTAGATGTAAAGTAATTTTGGTAGGTGGTATTAGTTATGTTATAGTTTGATTATAAAGGGAATACAATCTTGTGCAAGCATGTTTTTTATAGGGAAATGCTAAAATATGCTAGCTTTCAAAATTGTCTCTTCTAGTAAATGGATTGGAAATAACTCCTTCCTATACTCACACTGGATTTATCTGTGAATAAGCGTCTACATTATTGTCGGGATATAACTTAGTCAATCAATGGAAGATGAAATTTTTTTTACGTGGACATTTAGCAAATAGCTGGAAATAAATTGAAGACAGATATATACTCAGCTGATCAATGCAGTGTACGCACTTATTCTGAAATCCTGTTATGCTTATGTTGTTTGATTTCTTATCACTACACTAAAGACTGACAAGCAGTTGCACGTACTTTTCACCAAATGCAGTAAATAGATTACTTGAAGCTATCTGATATCATGATTTAGATGCTTCGGTTTGCAATACGTATTCAACCAGCTGCTGAGTAAGTTATGGAGTATGCGATCAAAGCTGAAAGAGACTTAAAATTTTAGGGGTAGCCATTTGTAATAATTGCAGCAGAATGACAATGACACTGGAGAAATAAAAGAAGTCCCTGTTGATAAATTCAAGTATTCGAAAACTAAATCCCCACAGATTGGTGACAACCAACATTTACTTAATAGACAACTGTATGTAGACAATAAACAACATCAGGAGCATTTCATATGACATTCATTCACATACCCGATTGTCTGTAATAGTCTAATCACGTTTTAGACGGAAATAATCATTGCTGTCAATAAAATAAATGACTTTTGAAAACGACTGAGAAAGCTTCGAAATATGTAACAGCACAACTGTAATCTCCTGTCAGCTGTTTTAAACATTTCTATATGAGAGGCCTAGAAAACGTTTTGATGTGATTTTTGGAGTATTTTCAAAGCCAGATTCTTCTAGTTTGTGTGATTAGATTACGATGTATAAAGAATAGTCAAGATGGATGAGAAAAATCCTGAAAATTGGTGAGCTAGATGTCGATCATCTGAAAGCTGCTGCTATATTTATACTTATATTTACATCTCAAACTTGAACATCTGATATAAACGCTCTCACTTTTGCTCAGTTCTACCCAGACGATATAATTTCCGATAACTTAGCGTGGCAAGAACTTCCCTCTTGCAGCATGCAAAAAGCCTCTGTAGTCTATGTTTCTACCGAAAATAATATTTATCCTAACCTTCTAAAGACTATCAAATTCGGCATCTCAATTCAGCTTGCTGAAGAAGTTTAACTTAACACTAAGAATACAGCATATTGCTAATTCCTCTTTTTGAATAACTAGACAAATGATTAGACAGAAGTCAGGATAAAGATATGCAAATCGTTTCCGCAAGATATTTATATACCAAGTTCGTGAAAATTGTAACACAAGCAAGTATTTGTACCATAGCATTTTTGACCACTGCTTTTCAAAAGTTAAAAGGTATAAATTCCATGATAACGGCCAATTACCGTATTTGATCATATCTTTTTTTTTTGAAATGCTTCGTTTTCTTCTCTAATTAGTCATCAAAAAATATTCTTCTTCCTGAAAATATTTTTCAGCTTTAGCCAGCTTGTAACTTCAGTGTATCTTGTATGACCACCATTTTAAAAAGAATACCCTTTGGGTTGGCTGAAATTTCGAAAACAAACGTTGGAATCACAAAGTAGTCAAAAATAATGCACTATCACATGACATTTTGCTCAAAGTAACTTTTCTCATTATTTTAGTTAAATGCCTATCTTGTTATTAGCAGTGACTAGAATGGGGTAAAAATAAATACATAATAATAAGTCCACAGCAATGATCACAGCTGAAAAACTAGATTAACAAGAATTAGATTATGAGGAAGGTCCGCCTCTCATAAGAATATCTTAAAATTTAATCTGAGGATTCAGAAATATTTTACTCTTTCATCCAAATTTTCATTATGTATTTGTCTTGTATGACTTTACATTGTATATCACTAATATGTTATTGCATATACTACTAAATCATTAGCGCGGTTTTTTTATAGGAAAGCGGATTAATGAACTGTAACAGAAATTACAGATAAATCTTGTACTAAACAGGATGCCAGATGAGCCTAGACTGCTCCACTCCAACAGTGTGATAAATTCATCCCTTCAAGTTTAAAATAAAACAGAAATGTACATATTGTATGTTTAATGCAATAGTGCATAACTTTTCGCAAAACGCTAAATTATATGGAACTACCTAACATGACAGTTAAATATATTAAGAGTAATACATTTCAAATTATGTTGGATGACACGCGAATAATACATAAAAGTAGGTATTTACGATTAAAGATGATCTTTACTGAACACTGATAGACTCGCTTAGCATTCTGTGAAGTAAACATGATGGCATTGACTAACGACCTTTTTGACAATAGCACTGAGTGGATATCACTTAGCTGACGAAATCAAAGTGCAGTAATCACAAGACTGTCACGTATTTAACAAAACCTAGTGTACTGTGTAAGCAACCGAAAACCAAAGGTTTTTTTTACTAACAATAACTGACACTGTCTAGTCCTCAATTATGCCAGATAGGGCTGAGGTAAGAATTTACTACTTCGCGGAATCCATTCATCCCTAACTACTTCTACCTTAAAGAAACCGATCACGATTTAAAGTATCACTATTGGATTAATTGTTATTCTCACTCATAGGATTGCAAATCAGATTTATAAATGAAAAAGATCCATATTTTACGACCGAGTTCACGATGTTTTGTATTACTTTAACTAGTATCGCATGTTGATTGAAACGATTATATAATGTCAGTAACTGATTCGCAATAAGCAAAAACAGTATGTAATATAGTTTTCTTCGTTTTGAAAACGAACGGATATATAAATTATAAAAATACTACATAAAACTCAGTTCATGATAATTTATTCATTTTGAATACATTTAGCCGATATGTGATTACCAGACATTTGCAACTTTGGAAAGTGAATGTGTCACAAACGAAGGAGTTGAATGGACATTTGATGATCCAAAGTGTAACATATTTGAAGTCAGCAGTAGTAAGTTCTCCTGACTTTAATTCACAACTGTTTATCATCAACTAATAAAGCAGAAGTGTTAAGTGAGAAGCATTAATCTGCTTCTATGAATGCTTGTAAACTAGGATTCATTATCACAAGAATAAATGAATTAGTTTCCAAGTGTGTGTCTTCATCCTTAACGAACTGAACTAGAATAATTATTTGCAGCAGAAAATGTAATTTACGATATTAAAGAACCACATGTGTAAATAATTTATGGTTCTCACTTACTGCTTAGTCAAGAGAATTTTCCTGGGAAAATGTACTCCAAATCTACTGGCTAAAATGATATTATCTGAGGTTATTTCTCTAAAGTACACTAACATTATCAAAACAAGTTTTACCGAACGTTGTTATTACCTACGAGTAAATGTGCTCAGTGAAACTGTACATACAAAATGAAACATATAAATACATAAGTCACTACCTCATAGCTCATGGGAGCAAGCTGATTCTTGAGTATCATCTGCAGCATGCAAAAAAGGTAGGCATCAACCAAGCTGATAATTACAGACCACAATTTAATTTGGACCACAACCGAACATCACACTACCTTCAGAAATATTAGTCTAAAAATCTGATGGAAAAAAACAGTGCGCATCAAGTAACGAGCAATAAATAATTATTCAGATAAATATAAATAATCCCCACGTTGCCATAAAATCCAAACAAGGAATCAGCAAAACGTTGCCATTTCATTCTGTTCTCTGCAGTCTTTTCAACCTGGCTCCACCACTACCAGCCCACAAGCTTTCATTTCTTTCTCACATGATCTCCCCCATGTCACACTCACACGCACGACTCGTCGTTTCTCCTCTCGGTTCCACTCGACGGCCTGGCGCGTGATGTCCCTGAACGGTTTTCGCCACTTCCACCTGCATATTTGTTGAGCGATAGCCTCTTGGTTGGTTCGTTGCCTGTCAGTCAGCCAGAATTCCTTGTTGCTTATTCTTATTATTCTGGCCGTCTGATCTTCAGTATCGAGCGAGTGGAGGTGGCAGCTGTTGATGAATGTCTGTAGTTTGTTGGATATGCTTTTCGTAACGCGCTCAGTCTCTGAACCACAAAGAAGCACTGACTTGACTGACATTAGTGGTGAAAATCCGGATCTTGTTCACGCTTTATGCTGAGTGGAGTGGATTGCAGTAGATCTCCACACTGGTTTCAGATTAATGAAGGAAGGCCTGTCTTGCTGTCTTTCCGATCGTGGCTGGCTTTGACGTCGTCATGTGTGCCTGTGCCACCTGTAGTTGAGACAATGCTGTCTAGGTAGGTAGGTAGGTGAAAGAGACAACTTGCTTTAAGTTTCTCCCGTTGATGGTGATTGGTGTTTGTTGTTGTTGTTGACTGTGTATCTTCATCACCTCTGTCTTATCTACGTTCGCTTGAATAGTGTCTTGTCTTCGCTGCCATGCCATGCCATGCCATGCCATGCCCTACCCTGCACTGCACTGCACTGCCTCTTCTGTTGACTTGGTAGTTTCAGCCTGTACATCTTCGAGTTTGTGCCATGAGACATTAGACATGAATCATCATCTCTGGCGAAATACAAATCTTCTGGGATCTTTTCATCGATCCTGCCAGCGTATGCTCATCTTCTCGCTCCTCACTGTTTCTTGCATGATCCACTCCACTACAACCAGGAATATCATGCGTGATAGTAGACAGTCTTGTCTCACTCTTTCCTGTCTTCACTTCGAAAGCATCACTGAGCTTTACATTGTGAATAACTTGGCATGTGGCGTCATCATCATCATCATCATCATATAGGTGATGAATGAGGTTGATAAAGGTTTGTGGCTCTAAAGCCGTAGTGTTGAAGTAGCTGCCTGCCAAATTACTTGTTGGTCGACGCTGTCGAGAGGTCTTTCAAAATCCACGAAGTTGAGGTAGACAGTTCATTGCTATTCTATGCTCTGTTCTATGATGATGCGTAGCGTCGCGTCGCGTCGCGTCGCAATTTGGTCCACACATGATTTGTTCTTTCTGGAGCAATCGTCTTTCGATCGTAGTTCTGAATTCAGCGCATCTTTTAGTCTTTCCGGGATGATGCGGCCTGGCATTCTGCTTTGGGTGGACAGGAGTGGAGCATGATTCTGTGTCAGTTCTTGTTCTTGCAAAGACTCAAGTCGCCCTTATTATTACTTTCTGGGAGGGAAGAGATCAGCACAGATGAAACCAATGAGAGATAGTGAAGGAAACCTAGTTGACATCAAAGAGGAGAAACAAAGGAAACGATGGCTGACCACTTCGAAAAACTCTTGAATCGACCACCATCACCATCACCATCACCAACTGCAACTCGTTCCGAAATACCACATGCAGTGCAACCACAGAACTACCAGTGAACACAGGCTCTCCGACCAAAGTCGGAGTCCTGAACACCATAAAGCCACTGGAATGCGAGGAAGCAGCAGGACCAGATGGAATCCCACCAGAAGCAGTGACGACAGATGCACAGACAACAGCGGACATGCTCACACCACTGTAGCAAAGGGTTTGGAAGGAAGGAATGAAGGGAAGGTGCCTGCCCATTGATTGGAAGAAGGTCTATCTTGTCAAACTCCGAAATAAGGGCGACTTGAGTCTTTGCAAGAACAAGAACTGACACAGAATCATGCTCCACTCCTGTCCACCCAAAGCAGAATGCTAGGCCGCATCATCCCGGAAAGACTAAAAGATGCGCTGAATTCAGAACTACGATCGAAAGACGATTGCTTCAGAAAGAACAAATCATGTGTGGACCAAATTGCGACGCGACGCGACGCAACGCTACGCATCATCATAGAACAGAGCATAGAATAGCAATGAACTGTCTACCTCAACTTCGTGGATTTTGAAAGACCTCTCGACAGCGTCGACCAACAAGTAATTTGGCAGGCAGCTACTTCAACACTACGGCTTTAGAGCCACAAACCTTTATCAACCTCATTCATCACCTATATGATGATGATGATGATGATGACGCCACATGCCAAGTTATTCACAATGTAAAGCTCAGTGATGCTTTCGAAGTGAAGACAGGAAAGAGTGAGACAAGACTGTCTACTATCACGCATGATATTCCTGGTTGTAGTGGAGTGGATCATGCAAGAAACAGTGAGGAGCGAGAAGATGAGCATACGCTGGCAGGATCGATGAAAAGATCCCAGAAGATTTGTATTTCGCCAGAGATGATGATTCATGTCTAATGTCTCATGGCACAAACTCGAAGATGTACAGGCTGAAACTACCAAGTCAACAGAAGAGGCAGTGCAGTGCAGTGCAGGGTAGGGCATGGCATGGCATGGCATGGCATGGCAGCGAAGACAAGACACTATTCAAGCGAACGTAGATAAGACAGAGGTGATGAAGATACACAGTCAACAACAACAACAAACACCAATCACCATCAACGGGAGAAACTTAAAGCAAGTTGTCTCTTTCACCTACCTACCTACCTAGACAGCATTGTCTCAACTACAGGTGGCACAGGCACACATGACGACGTCAAAGCCAGCCACGATCGGAAAGACAGCAAGACAGGCCTTCCTTCATTAATCTGAAACCAGTGTGGAGATCTACTGCAATCCACTCCACTCAGCATAAAGCGTGAACAAGATCCGGATTTTCACCACTAATGTCAGTCAAGTCAGTGCTTCTTTGTGGTTCAGAGACTGAGCGCGTTACGAAAAGCATATCCAACAAACTACAGACATTCATCAACAGCTGCCACCTCCACTCGCTCGATACTGAAGATCAGACGGCCAGAATAATAAGAATAAGCAACAAGGAATTCTGGCTGACTGACAGGCAACGAACCAACCAAGAGGCTATCGCTCAACAAATATGCAGGTGGAAGTGGCGAAAACCGTTCAGGGACATCACGCGCCAGGCCGTCGAGTGGAACCGAGAGGAGAAACGACGAGTCGTGCGTGTGAGTGTGACATGGGGGAGATCATGTGAGAAAGAAATGAAAGCTTGTGGGCTGGTAGTGATGGAGCCAGGTTGAAAAGACTGCAGAGAACAGAATGAAATGGCAACTTTTTGCTTTATCTCTATGTTTCACTACGAGTCTATTTTCTTGCGCTTTACCAATTCTTCTGCGTATATCCATTTCGATGGTTCGCCTTGTAAATTATATTCACTTTCTTCTCGCTGCCTAATTTTTTGCTGAATTTTGTGAATTCATTTGTCAATAACATCTTTACTGCTATTGGATAATTGACGTCCTTTTTGATTTACAAACTGATATATCTTATGCAGTATTTAGAAATGTTTATTTTTACGATCTGCCTGAATGTATTAAACATTATCGCTAAGTATACGATCATGTCAAATGTTAATCATATCTCTAAACCTTTTATTTCATGCGAACTATTTAGTTAGTCATCACAAGTGCTATTCTTTCTGGAAAACAGATGGATTGACATATACGCTCTTGCTTCAAGACCGTAAAGACGATGGATATAGTCTTTTCACTATGGTAAGTAGTATATATTTTGTTCCCGCCAGAACACCATTTTAAACATTCTGACACATTTATATTCAAATACATTCAAGATGAGACCTAATAACGGAGTTTTCATAGTAAAGCACTTAGTAGAAGGATAATATGCACAGAAAATCAGAGGACATAGAATACAGAAATTGCTTCTTGTTAGAAAATATTTTTTAGGCATAATAAAGAAAAATATGACTTGGTTAGGAAAATAAACTTCTTTCCAATGCACTGCTGAGTAGCATGCATATAGATTCTGTTTACTAACCAATGAATACAACGGCGAATTCAGTTCCTTTAAAAATTATTTGCAACTTGAAATCAGAACTCTTTCTAGAGCATAAACGGTAGATCGTTATGGAACAACTTGAATATACCAATACTGATTGGGGATGAAATGAAAATCTAGGTCGTGTTATGATTCGAGCTAGTGAATCCGGATTACATGTCGGACACTCAGCCATCCAAGATACGAAATTCATATTGATGATGCCTGTCTACCAAACAATGAGTATCTCAGAGGAGTATCTATACGATACACCTATCTAAGGATTCATTACAGGTAAAACCTCTGCTTGTATGGGTAGATGAATGTTATCATTCAACAATTCTAAAACAATGGAAAGCTGTAGATAGACGTTTATTAGCATAAGCTGATGGATCAATGAAGTTTCTATTGCATTTAGGGGCGCTTCACTAAGCCACTGCAGTTAAACATGTTTTACAGCACGAAATGACCATCTATATGACTAACAGTTTACCGATTGCACTATACTGGTGAACAGAACAGGTACGCAACGCTACTCACAGGCTAGATAGCTCAGAATTGATATTCTTTGCGGAATGATAAAGAATAAGAGACATTCTCAGAGACTATTTTATTTTCTGCAGATGTATGAGTATTCTTGCGATGTTTCAGAAATACAAAACAAGGGGAATGAACTGAGTGCAACTCCATCTCAAAATTCTAAGTGTGAGTTACTCACTTTTATGCTCTACTTTATAGATGATAAATGCCAAGTAGATCTAGGTGATAATAATTAACATATAGTCACTTACATACCTACGAAGCTTTATATTGGATCTAATTAGGTAAGAAAGTGACATCTTCGCCTATGTTGTTTCCCAAACCATCATTATCTATCTATACTCTCTAAATAAAGCTTCCAAAATAGTTAAAACCCCTGCTTTGAATCCATTCATAATCTTATAAACGAGTGACAATAATGTTATACGTGGCTGGAACTACTATTAGCTGATACTAAAAACAATAGGCTACTAGAATATAAAGGTTAGTCTTACACTTTATTTCAAACTATTTTTACGCGAATATTTTTTTTCAACTGGTGAAGCCCGAAACCACGATATAAGCCTGGGAACAGTCTCTCCAAACAGTGATAATAATAATAATAATACCAATCTTCAATATTCCAGAGAAATACAACAAAAGCTGTTTCACTGCTTTAGTAATGATATATATATATATATATATATATATATATATATATATATATATATATGAATTTGTTATATGACAGACTGACATATAGTTAGATTAGATCTGTTTCTGTCACCAAACCCATCCTAAGTATTCAGGCAAAGGCTTTATATATATATATATATATATATATATATATATATATATATATATATATATATATACGTATATAATACAGTAGACCAAGTTTGTCACTTTCTGGGAAACTTTTAAGTCTGAAATAAGGTAACATTTATCAAAAGGCAATCAGTTTTTGCTATCAGTGACAAGGTTTACAGGACTATAAATTTCCATCATATTTTTCCCAATTGTTAATATAAAAGATTAGTGTAAGTAATTCTTGTAGACTTTTTATGCGCACTGTAATTATCCAGCTCCTTCAGGGTGACAGAAAATGAAAATAAAAAAGAAAGAGGGAGTGGCATGACTTGTTTTTAAATTTCAGTCTCTTCTGATTTCCAACATCATATGACTGTCTCACATATATTCTTTATTGGTTTGATACATGAAGTTTCATCTTTCAAAGTAAGGATACTGTTTTCACATGAAGAACTTCAACTGTTCTTGACACACTGTTACTTCTTTTCTCGGATTACACAAAGAAAAAAAAGCGTCTTGATTTGGTTTCACTGCACAAGCAGTGGCGCTTCAGAAACTGTTTTTAGTATTCCGATAAAAGACGACGACTGCACAAATGTTGACTATAGCTGATTCTGTATGCATATTTTTGTATGGTAAATATAGATATTCTCCGATATTCCGGACCCTTTAAATCCATCAGATTCAAATTATGGTCAACACAAGCCCATTTGGATCTATCCTGGTTTATTGTCGAAAGGTTATCGAAGAAATCTTACTTTATGGAATGAAAATAAATCAGATTTTGACACAAGGATTCCTGATAGTTGGGATGATCAAAAAGGATATGAAATTACTGCATACCAATTGCATATACGTCGGGCATGTAAGCTACGTGGATTAACTCATATTTTTACTGATATTCTACTATTTTTTTTAATCGGAACTGAATATCGTTATTGTATTTTCAACACGACTCAAAATTCAACCATTGCTTTCAATCAACTGATAGTGATCAAACACTGGTAGCCTTTAAAAATCTAACCATATAGTGATAAACACTATGCAGTTCATCAATGAGCTTTAACTGGCGAATTGTATGCATCCTAATTTGACAGTATGTTTAAAAATCATGTTTTCGAAGATCATCTTCTGGCTGTTAGTCATATATCACTTATGTTAAAAGAAATACCTAACCATGACCGAGTAAATTTAATTATGAAGTCTATCCTTTTGAATGAAGAATTATAAAAAAATGTTGAATTAAAGTATTTGCAGATTACAGAATGCAGCCATTACTAGTTACTACAGTTTGAGTTAATTAGTGAGCAAATGAATTAATACCCACTTTTGAAAATTTTAATGCAATTTAACTAATGTTGCTTATTTTTAGTATTGAAAGAAACATGTCACAATGACACTTCATCAAAAATGATTCAACTAGTTTAAGCATTTAACAAATATCTAGATTTACATGGTGACATGAATTGATCTAGAATGTAAAAACCACAATACACAACATCTTGTCCATATTTTTCATTTTTGTTTTCTCCTGTGATCCTTCAGTAGATACAAGAGACTTCAATTATCAGTTTTTTTCTTTTTTCTTATTATGAAGCATCTAACTGTTACAACTAGAAAGATTATTTCAGCTTATGTGGCAATTTATTCACAATCAAGTATGTTGAATCTTTCTTTAACTTGTAAACAGCAGTGATTTAGTCTTATGTTAAGACAAAAATCGACGCCAGTGACTGCTAATGTCTACTTGCCAACGTGCAATCACACAAACAATAGATAGATAGATAGATATATAAGATCAACGAAAACTTTTTCTTCATGAGAACAGTCCTAAAAATGCTTTCAACAATACATGGTTACTTAGTTCAACACGTAAATATACTTGAATACAAGAGTCTACTATGCACCCTTTTCTCATGCCTCCTACTTGAAGTAAGTGACCAATTCATATAGCCTGAAACGTTATCCTTTATGACACTTCAGTATTTCAGAATTCCAAGTGCAGTGCTTACAATTCTCTGAAACATCCAACCATATTTTTTAGAATAAGTGAAACGAGAATGATTACGATGCAAACTTCTTTTTTGTGTATAATCTTTACTAATTTCATGCATATTGGTCCATGTTTGCGTCACACGCTCTGTCGCCTTTCACTTTGCTAGCAGCATGGAAATTGACACCATCAACATTAAGCATAGCTGTAAAGAACAGAATCATATTAATTTCAAATGTACTTCAAAGAAGTTCTGTAAAAGAGGTTGGCCTTTTGAAGTCTTTTCTTCAAATGCATTATGGTGACCGCAATCCATCATATCTCAATATTCACAAACATCCTTCAAGATCTAATACCTCGAAAACTTAAAATAATGTGAAAATATGCACGAATAGAGTAACTAATGCAGTTGTATTGTCCTCAGTGCTCAGCAGTGATCGAATTCCATTGCCACCGAACGAAGGGAATTGCCACTACTGTGTACTTACTACATTTCGGTGTCAGATGGTAAGAGTTAATCGCCAGGTAGCACTGCCAAGCTAATGGGAGTAGGACTTCTGCGGTGAGGAATGTAATACATCATTGTGATAAGGTGGAACAACAACTGGTTTGCCTTCTTCTCAAGGTTGACTGTTACGCAGAATATTTAAGATTATAGTTTACTACATGTTGTGTGCTGGAATTACACAATTCTATTGAACAAAGATTCTATAATGATTCAGTACTACCTAAAAACCACTGCGAATCAAAAGAAGAACTTCTATATTACATGTTCCATAGCGAACTTTACTATTACTTTACTCTCCAGACCTTATGTATTATTGAAACCATAATGAGATTGTATATTACGTGTACTGATAATAAACCACCCTATTGGAGCTAAGCACGAATAAAAACTAGTTGGTTCATGTGACAGTACGACCACCTAATATCAGCGATAATTCTTGACTGCAAAGTTTTATTTGTAATAAAAATTATTCTCAAATAAATCTAAGTCTGAAACAGATCTTAATCAACTTTCTGCTTTTTCCTCACTGCTTCAAAGAAAAGATGACTAAGTGGTTGCACTATGTGTGAATGATATTAGTCAACTTCTAGTGGCAAATGTGGCCATCAGATATCGTTATGCTATTTTTCCAAACTTTTCGCTGAAACTATACCTAACCCTTTGGTTAAATAATAGTTTGATCTAATTTCTAACATCTGGGATGGGAAACGAATCGCTCCTACTTAAAAATGAAACAAGCCATCGTACTCCTTATGTTCTGCATCCAAATGCCTGAAGGTAAACAACTAAGGAATGTAGGAGGGGATTGAAACCGAATGAAAACCTGTACTGGGACTGAATTCGAACTACATAAAAGAAAGCCGGTTGCACCAAGCAAGTTTATTAAATATTGAGCATTTCAATCAAAATTGTAATGTCTCTTAAAGTTCCAAGTGACTTAGTTCTCTTAGAAGTAGAAGCTATTCAGGTGCAGGAATTTAAATATTTAAAAAGAATGTTTATAGAGTATAGCATTCAATTCCCCTTTGCAGGATGAAAACCAGTGCTTCAACACTGTGGTGGATCATAGCATTAAAAGCCCAACAAAACCGGTAAGAATAGCCACGTTATTAATTAGTTCTTCGTTTACTTTTATGCTTGAATTAACCTAATAACTTTAACACTATACAACTTTTAATTACAGTTGGAATTTGCGATGATGAGCCAACTAGTTGTACAAAAGGATGTGACTACGATATACGAAATAGAATGTTTTGCTATAAAAGCTGTCCAGTGGATGATAGGAAATGCAGTAAGTGATCTGTATTTACGTCTTTTCTGAGTTTACTTATAATATGAACAACTGTTAATGATAATTTTGAGCATTGAAGTAGTAATTCTTATACAAATTTACTACATCTTATGACAACTGAGCACTAACTTGAATGGTAACCAGCTTTTTACTTCGCATTTTCAAACTTCACACTGTTTGCACTACTGAATCGAATTATTCCCTTTTTGTACATTGATGCTTAAGTAATTATAGAAGTTTCATTACAGAGTTTCTTGTTCATAGTTGATATGGAAGCGGATATCTATCAGTTTGACACATGCTGTAAACAGCATACACTTTTAATAATAGACAACACCCAATGCACATTAAACGTTTTCCATGCTTTATTAGACTACAGAATGAGGCTTTGGTGCTTGTGATGGAGAACAGTACGTTTTAATCTCAATGAGATAATTAAAATTAACTAGCATACCAAAGTATCCATTTGATTTGCTAAAGATTGCAAGAAACGTAAAATGTAGATTTTGAGGTTACTACTTAACAAAAATTGACTAATATATTATTGAATCACTTGACCGTTTAATTAATGTGAGTAATAGAGCACATCATGCATCTTCACTAATGAGCTATTCGAAACCACGTACACACTTAAAGAAAACTGCATGCTAAGAAGAATCGTATACATTCACTTGTTGTATATCCCATGTAACTTTATTCAACTTTCTTGACAAATACATGTACCGACATCGCATTAAAATTGAAACTAATTTTGTTTATATACATTTGGCAGTAAACAACTCAATTAATTACATCTTTTCGAATCCTGTGGTGTTTGTCTCTCGGTTTATTTGTCATTAACGTGTGTTTGGTTGGGAGGTGTGAGTTAGCGTACGGTCTATAACATTTTCGTCAAATAGAAGTGATATCTGCTAATTTTATCCGGTTCGCTTTGAGACGCGTTTGGAAATAATACCGTTGCCCATACACACCACAAAAGTGGTGAGAATCTGGAAGGGAAAAACTTGAACCGACAACTCAGCAAGTACACATCATGCAGCTGCATGAATGTTTGGTTTATCAACGTTTTAGCGTCATTAAAAAGCTAGAAGGGAAAAATGAGGTCAAAAAAAGAACGAAAGGCTATCTGAATCAATGACAAATAACTAATTCGTTTTACAACGATCTTAAGCACCATTTTAATGTTTATTAGAAATGTCATACAGTGAAACAGTATCATTTATCGGTTAATGTTTTGGACATAAATTATTGTCTATATCCCTGAATATGGACAATAAATCGAAACGTTATCCAGTTAGTGATACTGTTTCACTGTATAGCATTTTTAATAAGCAGACTAAAATGGAACAATAGTCTTCCATAGTGCCCTATTTTTATTTCTGTATTAATGATCTAAAACACCTTTTTGATACTTCGGCTGTGTCTTAACTTTCTACGAGATAACAGTAATAAATACTGTTTACTTGAAGGACACATACCAATATAATGTTCTCTTAGTCTAAGTCCAGAAAGAATTCTGTTTACCAAATTTTCAATATAACTCTGAGTCACATTTTACTTGGTGCTGTGCCTTTGAAAACACTTGGAGGTTGATGACCTCCAGAAAGTTTGAAATTCATACCTGAACCTTCCTTTAAACTACTTTCGGCAATGCCATCAGCTACTGAAAGTAAATAATACATGTTATGCATCATTTAAAATGTCCGATTTCGACTTTTAATGAAATGAACAGTGATAACAGACTTTATCCAAATTTCGACCATTCACCTTCCCAGGGATCTTAACAGCGATCCTTTATCTGAAAAACTGAACCTTAGAAGAACTCGTTTGCAACAGTTTATTGCGTAAACTCATATGCATATACTCATAAGGATCCAAGCTTGTACAAATCATCATACTAACCTAATTCAAATGTGTTTAGTATTTAGCGAAAGAACAATAAAATCTTTATTGTATAATCTGTCACTGATGTATAATAAAATCTTTGTTTCTTTAGAATCTTCTCAGTGGGATTCATGTACATTCAAACAAAATTATCAGGGTCATTGGAACTTTATTGAACCGATGTCTAACATGAAGCATGCACTAACAGAGTCATATAAACCTAAATGGACCAGTCTAATATTTGGCGAAAACTATCTCATTTTCATGGGTAAAATAAATGTATCCTATCTATGTATACGGGAGGTACGTGAAGCAATTCAAGACTGGTTTATAATTCGCTCAAGGAAGCAAGCGAATGGATGGTTAGTTTATGTCACTGTTACCAAAATCATAAGTTTTTCTTTTGAATGACTTTATTTTTAGTTGTGTAAAACATGTATATTAGTCATATGTACCGAAGATCATTCTCTACTTTTCATGGGTTATTAAGCTGTATTAGTAGAAGTCATTTCACACACTGGTTGTTCATTGAACAGCAACCATGTTGTCTAGTTCTGAGTTCTGACCGGATTCTATAGATCATTTTGCAATTTTATCACCATACCAGGAGGTTCACCATCACTTCGCACATTGATGGTTGCTAGATGGTTGGAGGCGACCGGCAGAAAGCCCTGTTAGACCTAGGTTTCTCACTTTTTGGCACTCGTCAGCAAGGAGTATCTACAACCTCGATGGAACTGATGACCCCTCTGAGATTCGAGCCTGCATCACCTAGTACCACTCACTGTTGGTCGATTCACGTGAACTTGATTGTCATCTGAACTACTTAGATTGTTTTAAGCGACACTTAAAGCAGACAAAAGATAACACTGAGTAGTTTGATTTAAGCATGTAGATATAGGGTTTGAATTGGTTGTTTTATTTATATTGCTTAGTTTGTTCGCCTTTGTCGGTGCACGGGTTTCTAGTACGTGTTTATCAAAATTGTTTTTAGTTAGATCTTACTTATGCAGCTGATATTGGATAGCAGTAGAATCCAGGATCTACAGCTCTTCTTATTTTGCAAAGATTAGCTGTATAAAACCGGATGTTAATGAAGACTGATGCGTTAAACCAGTGAGTTGAGAAAAAGAAATTTCAGACCCTTAAGCAGCAAGTTTTATCTCTTGAACAAGGTAAAGTGGTCATCACTGTCTTATCGAACAATGCTCTTTCATACTTTGCGATTGAAGACAGGTTATACTCTAACAGTCAACACCAGGTTAGATGTAAGTACACCTACCCAATGGGTTTGAAATGAAACAATAATCTTAGACTCAGCACTAGCCACTATCAAGCACAAAATATACTTGTATATCTTTATATCATGTAAAGTCAGTTGGATATAATATCAACAGAAATGACTTCAAATTTAGATTTGTCAGCCAGTAGACGTTGATTAGTCATCAATATGAGTTTCCATTTAGTATTAGAAAGTGTATCTAGGAAGCACTGTTTCAACTACAGGCGGGACGGACGAGGATGTCAAAGTCAGAATCGGAAAAGCAAGACAGGCGTTCATTAGCCAGAAGCCAGTGTAGAGATCTTCTGCACTCAGCATGCGGAACAAGATACGGATTTTCAACACCAACGTCAAGTCAGTGCTTCTCCATGGTTCAGAGACTTGGCACGTTACGAAAGACATTTCCAATAAACTACAGATATTCATCAACAACTGCTTACGCTGACTGGATACTGAAGATCAGATGGCCAGAGAGAATAAGCAACAAGGAGCTCTAGGAACGAGCCAACCAAGAACCTATCACGCAACAAATATGCAGTGGAATGAAGTGGAGATGGATTGGGCATACACTGAGAAGGCCGACTGGGGACATCATGCGTCAGGCCCTCGAGTGGAACCCCGATGGGAAGTGACGCGTTGGACGTCCGAGGGTGACATGGAGGAGATCGTGCGAGGAGGAAATGAAAGGTTGTGGCTGTCGTGGAGCCAGGTTCAAAAGATTTCAGAGAAGAGAGTGAAATGGAGACGTGCTACTGAAGCCCTATGTTCCATTAGGAACCCAAGGGACTAATAATAATAAATAATAATTAAAAAGTGTATGACTTAAGTAGTATCAAAAGTGAACCAAAATGACAATGCGTCGCATTTTGTTATGCAATTATAAATACAGGTTGTCAATCAAGCCAGGTTTCTTAGTTCTTATCATTTCCGGCAGTTTTGATGCCCAGTGGGCTTGAACGTTTCGGAGCAGAGATTGTGAAGTTCATCTAGGTGTCATCTTCAGCACTGCAGCAAGTAAAAATTAATTCGGAATATATTTTGAGAGCATTGTTAGAACATTTCATTTGGGCTGAACAACTTATAAATGTTTGCTTTGTTCCACTCTTTTTGATTGGTTTATTGTTAGAGCTCGAATCTGTGACATTTATTCGCTGAACTGAGTTTTGACTGTCTTTTTCTGGTTCATACTGTTGAACTTTTATTGTTTGAATCACTGGTATCATTCGCAAGCACTTCAAGCTAATTTGCCTCTATGTCAATCGATATTCAAGATAGTTCCATTAGTTTTAATTGTACCTTAAAACGAAGTTGATTTCTGTTGTTCAGACTAAACTACTTGCATTACCTTGTTTGAATTTTGCACTAACATAAGTCTCAGTCATAACTAGATCTGTTTTTCCACCTATTGTTTCCAGTGTCGTGGAATAATAATCACACTTTTAATTCAGGATGAGCATTTTGATAGCTTTGCTACTCCTGCTCACTTATATTTCTCATTTTCTGTTGTTTTCAATGTTAGTCTTGAATGTCTTTAGTATCCTATAGTACCTTTGTTTCTTTTGAACAGAAGTCGAAGTTTATAGCCCGCCTAACAACCTTATTTTTACAAACTGATAGATAATGTCGACTAGTTTATTTAGTGCTTGTTTACCTGAATACTTTCTTTCTGTAATTCGCTTGGACTCATTAAGGTACGTCCTAAGATTTTAAAATTTCTTCACTTTAATTCGTGACTGTAATAACTGAGAGGTATTAGGATGAATGATTTAATATCATGATACTTCATTATTATCCTATGCTGAATGTTCCTTACAGTAACTCATAAAATTTATAAAGTAGCTTCCTACTCCTTTATTAAAGATATCACTATATGCTTTGTTATCAACAAATATTTCCTTACCATCAACTAAGCTCCTTCTAGAAATCTTGGACCTGCGTTTATATATTTGATAATTTATCCTTTTAAATCAAACCAAAAGTTGCAATCCATCAAGATATTATCTGTTATTCACCATTTTATTCACTGAAATTACAACAAAAAATGAGCCTTCCGTCTCTGTATTTAGTTATGCATATAAAGATGAAAAAGAAGATATGTAAGTGAATGATAAAAGACACAATTAGCTTTATTCTTATGATATTTTAGTAACTTGTTCTCTTGTTTTCTTGTTCTACCAGTCAACCTAGAGATGTTTGCTTAGAGCTTTTTCAAAGTGGTATCAGACGGTCATTTGATACACGCAACACAAATACTATGGAATTTCGTATATGTAAGTTAATTTTGTTACTACAATCCCTTTTTTTATGCCAAACTGTAACGTTTTCAAATAATTTAGAAACAGAAATAGACTTAGGTTTACTAACATGAATTAGTTTAAGGTCTCAGATGTTATTAAATGTAACGTGTCTGTGCTACAGATGGCGACTGGTAGTCAACAAAGGTGATCTACATCTCTGGAAGTTCTATCTGTATTCAAAATTTACTTTTTCTAAGTAAAACTTTTGAAATCAACCTACAGTTTCTCGACTGCCAAGATTAAGGGTTTCAAAACTTCAACAACAATAAAACCACCCAACTATATCTCACTCCTGTTGTAGATATTCAATGCTTTATAATCTACATAGATACATTTTTAAAACTTCTGTGTTAGGCTGTAAAAAATAAAATGTTACCAAGAAGACTTTTCATCTTCTGAGTGGCAAACATTACTCCCAAAAATCCTGATGCCTCAAGACTAATGCAAGCGAATCTCATAGAACTGTGTCCGCTGCGATAAACTTTCAAATGCTAATGCTTAGCTGAATAACTCAACCATCATAAGTCTCATGTTTTACACCGACTGTTAAGGAGTCTTGTCACAAGCAAAATATAACATGATTTGTAACAGAATACCAATGAAAGAATAATTTCTAAAATGTGCATAACTCTGGGTTAGGTAGTGATAAATAGCCACCGAACTCGCCTACATATAGGTCATGAAACTGCTATAAGAACCATAGGACCAGCTAGTTATTAATCTTGATGTCAATAATTTTTATTGCTAACCGAAAACTGAAAATTTGATCACTAAGCCAAATCTACGTGTTCAAAATGTAATTACAGTATGCTGGGTTAGTAGTTAAATTACAATGTCACTAAATCCAATGACTAACCAAAATAGCATGCACTTGAGTAAGAGGAACACTACTTTGGTTGAAGGGAAAAAACTTATGCAACAAAAGCAACAGGAGGAAAAGAAGTGAATTTCGGCTATTCCCACCTTATACATGTACTCTACAAAATCGTTTCCAGAACTAGTACTTACAAATATGGTATAAATACAAGTGCAACCAAAATCCATTCTGTTAACTTTAAAAACAAGAAGCAGTAAAACTGCCTGTCATTGTATGACTTGAAGTTATTATTTTTGTTACGAAAATTCAGTGAAACTGTTCTACATTTAAAGAACATATGGCAATTTTATTTAAGTCAGTCAGCTGAGATATTTTCAAATTAAAACATACTACAAATAAACTATTCTAGCCTCATGGATAAATAATTTTTCTGTTCTTATCACTAATTTTTCTAGCTCAAAGCAGAAAATACGGATCAGACGTACGAACTTTGTGCAGTTTTGATACTCAGTCCTTCAGTTTAAACAGCAAACCAGCTGAATCGTCTACTGCACTTATATTAGTTCGAAATCTTGAACCATACCGTAAGTTTTGCATGATCAATAACACGAACACTAAACTTTCATTTTTTAGATTTCAAAAGATTGTTGGGGTGCTAGATGTGTTCCTATTGCGTAACGTTTGACCAACCCTACTTAACTCAATGTGCTGTAGCACCTACTTAGTCTTTACCTTACCTAACGTGTAAGTACTGATAACGAAACAAAAATGAAAAGGACTTGTATTCGGAAATGTATTCAAGGAAGCAATATATTTAATTAGAATAAATGTGATAGTAGTTATTGGGGGAGAAGTTTATCCAACTTATCTGGCTAGTGTAAATGAACTAGTGATTTTGATGATATGCATGTTAACCAGCACAAAGGGAGAGCAAAATGGTGTCCAAGCCTTCTTGGATGCATGGTCGTTAAAACTAAACTTAGAACATCTTAAGCGTTCGGAGGCAGGTTAAAGTTTATTTAGTTAATTTGATTCCATTTATTTATTTTAACCCTAGCTACGTTTTGGTGCCAAGACGGTGCACTACAAGATAATGGATTTGACTGGTCAGAATTCAAATATCACCTCAGTCATAAAGTGAAATTGTGTCATTTTTCTCTCATAGTAGTCCTCTACACCGCTACTATAATTTTAAGTATTATCATCTGATTATAAAATGAAAGCGCACAGATTTACAAATCTCAATAAGCAGACAGTTTAAGGAAGATCGAATGTGTTATCATTTGTTTCGTAGCACAAAACGGACTATTTCAAACTCCATCATTTTTGTCTATTAAACAAACGAAGAAGAGGCAATGAAGTAAGAAACTATTCTCTGAAGTTTAGTGGAGCATGAATGACTAAATATTGTATCTCTTCATTGAAAAGAACTCATTGCATTAGAGAAATTAAATTAACTGGAAAAAGTTCTTATACTTTGGAACATTGTAAAATAAATGGCATAAAATGTCTTCAGAAAACTGCGCAAAATATAATTTGTCCACGTTAACTTTACCAACTCTTCATCATACCGAACTTCAAGGCTACTATGCTGCATAGCTTCGTTTCCAAGCACACTTTTAAGCCTACATATTTCTTCAAAATTATTGTTTAAAACCTAACTATATTTAACACAGAAACTTTAATTTCAAAAACTTCTAGAAAGATGAAAATTCACTTTGTCTCATATGTGGTTCTAAGTAAGTACAATTACAAAAGTATATGAGACATAACGAACAAAACTATATCATAGGCGAACTTTTGTAATTAACCTTCCGAATCACTACAGCATGCTAATCGTGATATTGTTGGCAAAGCTAGGCACAATTCTTCGCCAAAAGATGCAAGTACTGTTATTCTCTGAAAAGAAGATTATATTTTTAGTCAGAGTATCCGCACAAGCTGTCGGCCTTCATTACTGTGTTTGAGAAATGAAATCAATCTTAGGTATGGAATTCATAATAATTTAACTTTATGAATTCACAACACAACTAATTCAGAATACTAAATGTTTGAGATGAACTGGGACCTGAAATCGGAATGAAGTGTTATTTTATTGCTTGACATTTCAAAAATCATAAAAATTTTTTCTTTCAAACACTAGATTTGCTATTGAAGGTCACTTATTCCTTTCAACATATTTCAGAAATGTCAAATCCATACAGTGACCCACCAGTTAAATGTGGTCTTTATCAAATGAGGCTTGTTGGGACAATGAGTATAAATGCTAATTATTTAACAAGCAGGTGGAAACTAAATGGAGTTTTCCCCTTACTTAAAAACTTTATTGAACTTTCTCAGACACTTGATAACAATTCAAATTATGCCCAATCTGTAAATACCCATGGTACAGAATCCAACAAAATCGAATTCGGATATTTAGAACCACATATTAACCACAACAAAAAGTCAGTGATTGAAGAAACAGACTTAATGGATACTCAGAATTTGTTCCACACTAAAAGGGTGAGAAATTCAGTATTATGCCATATTGAATTAAGTGATTTTAACAGAACTCATGGTACAACAGGAGAATTTGGAAATAAAATTTGGATTTATAGTGATTGTCTGCATAAACAAATCAGAAGTGCATTCAATACAAGTAAGTTGTTTGACTGACCTTAAAGCAATAATATTTATATGCAAAACAATCTCCTAATTAAACTTTAAAAAGACATTTTCATGTATAAAAAAGTATGTATATAAAAGTCCCTCTTATGAGGGTTTATTGTTTAATTCTGAGTAATATGTTGACCGATATATATGTCATTGTATTCATCCGAATGATTCAGTATTAAGATATACTGTCTTTGAAGCTGAATGACAACAGTCAGTTGGTGTATTTATGAACTGGGGAAGACTTACTTCTCAGGACGCTAAGACTTAATTTCGCACTACTAAACACTTACTTCTTCGTTTATTTTTTTCTGTTATCATGTCGCAAGTGATCAAGTGCAAGTGACCTTTTCCTGTTAAACAAAAATGATGCCATAAGGTGAAAGCCATTTAAAAACATATTCATTGTTTTTATAAAAGATTTTAGTGAAATAGTTTATCCGTTGCGTACGACGACAGCATGGAATATATTTCACTCAACATTATCCAGAGTAAGTGGTATTACACTTTACTTTTCTAGGTTATTTTAACGGTTACTTCATTTTCGTTCTATTGATCTGATAATATTGCGGTATACTTTCACAAATGCGCTATCATCCTAGTCGCAATTCAAACTGTAAGAACGCCCTAGAATTAATTAATTTGTAAGTGCAAATTTAAGATACTCCTGAAATGCGTTTCTTGCTGAACATAAAGAGAAAAGTACAGCTGCATTGTATAAAAATAATCTTGTTTTTCCTTGGTGATTCACTTAACAAATGCAAAGTGTTATACAGAATAGAATTTCATTCATTTGTCTGCATACATCCAGAAATCAGAGCTCTTTTCACAAGATTTATCTTTCTAGCTAACAAGCGCTTAAAAGCAAGCAACATGATTCGAAGAGAATCGCATTTTACAGGTAAAATATTTAACCGACTTAATATGTTATGTACCCCATAAAGCTATATGGTTTGTTAAGCTTTGTTGGCTTTGATGATTATTAGTTTCTCCAATCAAAAGTTATGATATCATACTTGTTCTATGAATGGTCATTCCACTTAAAGAAAGATTTTGCAACAAATTCACGTAATGAGGATAGTAACAAACGAGACTTTAACCTAAGGCAATAAAAAAAACTTAATTATATACAAGCAGTACCTTTATTAAAAGAAGGGAACATTTAAGATCTCTAACATACAGTTATTAAATTTCAAAAGCGCGCACAAAAATATAAAACGCATCTAAAAAGAAATGAAAATAAATTACACAAAGAATATTTCAAAACATGTAAGCGAAAGGTGCGTGGGGTATTCAGACTTTGGAAGATATAAAATCACAGCATTTGCACCACTATACGGGAATCAAAAAAATTACGCATTCAGCTACCTTGTGCAGATTCGCACAGCAGGTAATGAGCCACACCTATTGTGTGAAGGCAAGTGATATTATACGGGTTCCCAAACCTCAGTAGGTGGAGCAGGGCTCGGATTGGTGACCCAATGGTTGGTAGCCATCTCCCTAAACCAATGAGCCAATTTTCATTTAACGATAGTGATCTGCTGTTTGGGTTTTATCAGTCAGGTTTATTCTAAACTGCTGCAAACAATAAAATTCACTAAAAAGAAAAACAGATTTACCACAAATGTCTTTACATATATAATGGGTCAAAAACATGGCTTCTGGTGATTATTCAGCTGTAAACCTTACTTTTTGCCATCATTATTCTACCCTGAGATAGAACAGCAAAGTAAATACTTGGTCTTTGGTTGTTATGCTAATTAATACAATGCCATAATTAACAGTTATTTACTCTCTGAACAGAACATGTCTTCCCATAAAACAATCTCAAATTCGAATTACTTTCGAATGGTCATTTTTATTTACTTAACGGTTAACTGAAGGTTTCCTCAACACGAAATAGTACAATTAAAAATATTATGAAAGCATAAATCGCGTACTTTGGACAATGATTGTACTTTTACCAGCAAATTTTGAATTCCTAGTGCTTTATTAAACCATGCGAGGGTAAAAAGAATGCAGCTTTGAAGGTTACAAGAAGTTGGTGATCTTATGCAAAATCCTTACTTTCAGGAAACCCAAATAGAGAAGGAAATAAAATTCAATCGTTCCTGTTCAATTTGATGCAAAATATCATACCAGAGATAACTTAAGAGGATGGAAAACAGCTATTGCATACTGAAGTTCAAACACCTTTTTCTCGTAATAGAAAGACACTAGTCTAACTCTAACCGAATATTAACCATAATAGCACTGTAAAGATTCGGAAATCATCTGAGGACCTTTCATGGGGCATCCAGTGTTGAAGAATGAATGGTGGTGCGAACCTTGGTAGTTAAGATATGGTTCAAACAAGTAACCCATCGTTTGGAAGTCAAACATCCAAATTACTATGATACAGTTTCGCTCAAATAATAAATTGGTGTTTATAAATACTTATTAGTGTAAATATTTAAGTTATTTTTAATGACATCGTCTATTACATACACTGGGTAAATTATCCATAGCTTTTAAACTAATCATTTTTTTTAGCTTACACATGGTTGAAAAATACACTAAACCGAATTTAAATTTAAAGTAACAACTTATCATTGTTTTCAGTGACCAATATGTGGTCAAATTACTTTGATTTTGAAATTACCAATTGATTTCTTGAAATTTTTTTAATCTTTTTCCGTTCATTTTTATTTGATTAGTTGGTCTCATTTATGTCTTCGTCTTATATTTTAGGTCATATCTGTCTGTCTGGTTATGATATCCTCCCAGTTGAATTTGGCGAAAAACGACGACAGTTGATTTTGATAACTTACCATGTTCCAACAAAGATATATTTCTGCTGGGTAATTTCTTATTTTCCGTAAAATACTTATGAAGTAAATGTTGAATTACTGTTATAGATATTTAAAGAAGTCAACCGGGATAATTTTCAAAGTTATTTGGTTTTCCTGTTTGATACACCTCAGTGTCAATATCACAGACTTCCTTCAGGCGATATACAAGTTAATAAAGATGAAGCAATCGCTCAGCTAAGTTTAACACCAGGTAAAAGAAAAAACAGACAGTATGTGAAAGTTTGAACAATTTTTATGAAGTTTCGAAAAGTTCTGAAACCTAGTTAACTAGAAGTCAGTTTTCCTTTCAAAGAGCTAATATTTCACAAATTAATTTAAACCTAGCAACAGTGAAATAACATTTTTTTCGTGTTGAAAAGTTCTCCATAGTACAAATTATCAGTTGCTGCCAAACTGTTTCTTAACTCACAACACACCGTCTACCAGACTCTACTGGCATGAGTATTCAGTAATGATATCATAGAGATTAAGGTTGCCGATTTAATGCAAAAAGGGAATAATAGTACTAAGTGTAAAGTAGTCATCAGTCAGAAGAAATCTATTTAGAGTATCTCAGTTCTCAGAGGTTCTCGAATTAACACTATTAAAACACTTAAGGTTATAAAATTTTTTATTCAGCCACCAAACACCTTACAACTTCACTAGGTACAAAGGATCTTCCTCTTATTTCTGAGTATATAATTCGTAACTGCATAAGTAGTTAGCGAAATGTGATATGTATGCAACAGTTAGAGAAATAAAGAACCAACATCAATTGCTTGCTGAAGTTCACTATAGTTATAGGTGAGGAAACTTGAACCTTAACTTCAACAGATACCAGAAGATTTATAACTTGAGTAATTAAACCAGACTGACTATTTCAGATACTTCAGAAATAGGGTATCCAATGCTCTAGCATTACATGTTTAATTAGTATCCGTTTGGTCATTTCTATTTCAGTAGCTTGTAATAAATGTGGACGCAAACCAGATCAAAAACGAAAACAGTACTCTATTAATGTGGAATCACGGAGATCAAATGTATTGCGTATTCAGACAAATCAGATGAAGCATCGTCAAACACAGCGTGCTCTTAGGCAAAGTATACAAACCAGTCCAAAAAATATCAGCTTCAGAAAGCGATTAGATTCATTCTCCTTACCGATTTCAGCTTGTCTTTCACTCTTATTTATTCTGTTGTGAAAAAAACTTATTTAAACTCAATTTGTGAAATACATGAAACCATTTTTATACATTTGTAAATAAAAGAGTTAAACTACTAAAGACATGCTTTTCTGAAATAAAAGGATTTGTTGAGTATTGAGTAAAACGAGAGTAGCATTCATAACACTTAAATATCAGATGGTGAAAACTGGCGAAAAAAAGACTGGGGTGGTCTTTTATCTCAGTTTTGCATATATCAAAGGTGCATACGCAAGATCTCACATATGGAAAAGTCCAAGACCATTAAGTAACTACGTGGTAACATATTCATCGTGAGAATTAATGGTTTTGAGATCAAGAGTTTGACATTATAATAGCATCTAAACTCATACCGACCAGTTTTCTAGTGGCCTTTGCTCTGTGAAGTCTTCCGAGTTGATATCATTCCATATTGAAGATTACGATAAGATATACTTCAACCCTCAGTTTACCAACTCAGAGTTGATTTGTTCGACATGTATATATATATATATATATATATATATATATATATATATATATATATATACGTGCGCATACTCTGTTTGACAATTTTTGATTAGGAAAACAAGAAGTGTATTTAGAAGCGTGGATGTCATTTCAGTGATTTAAAAATAGGTACTATCCACATCCAAAAACCAAGACCATCCACCTGAGCTACAAATATTCCCCACCATTTTAACATGCGAAACTGTCCACAGCTTAGCTCTTGGCTTGCTTTTCTGGCTTTATTCAGAATTATTTACCACAGAAGTCTATTATTAGTGAAGATAGATTAAAAAAAGAAAGCAACTTTAACGGTTGAGCTCAACTGAAGAAGAACACCAAGAAGTTTCTGGAAATGTAGTTAGGAAAGACTCCTGAAATATGATCAGTCGTCGAGGCAGCTTAGCTCACCGGTTGTTTGACATCGTCAAACCAGTATTAAACTCGGTAACTAAAAGACCCAGCATGAATGAGCATATCCTTTGTACTTTCCACCGTTTAACAGTGCGTCCTGATATTGCCGAATAGTGACGCATTATGACTTACACCTGAATTCCCACTGCAGGATAGGGATTACGATTATGTTGCCTCAAGGAATTATGTCTGATGCATGGATATGTAGGCTATTAGTGAGTATGTTCACATACAGAATTAAAAATATACGCATCGGTTCATGAGACATCGCGAAGGTTCCAATGTTTCTCCGACTGATGTCAGTCCATGATGAATACCAACCTAAAATCAATAAATAAATCCCAACAAAACTCAAAAATTATTTGGTCTAGTCATCATTGGTAACTAGCTTCGGGAGGTGATTCCCAAAGTCCAAATGAGAAGTCGTGATGGCTGGGGTCGAACGTGAGAACAGTTACTGAACGATGGCACTGAATGGAGGTCGCGCTATGTTGTGAACTGACAGAAGTAAGAAATACGAATCTCAGAGTTTCGACCCAGTGGCTCAACGGTAACATACTCGTCGCGGAACCTGTAGGTTCTGGGTTCGGTCCCTGGAGGTGCCATGGGTGCTCACTGCTGAGCAGTCCCATGCTAGAATGAAACATCTGCCCAGTGCTTACAGGTCTTCAACCGATGTCGGCCAATGATGAATACCAACCTGAAAAATAGTTCTGTTTTTTCGAAGATCGAACCTAGAAAGTTTTGCGTATTGATGCGCGAAAGGCGAATCTAGAGAATATCGGTTCCCGGAAAATGTCTTGAAAACTAATTTTGTCTAACGATAAGAGAAATGGATGAGGATTTAAGAACGTAAATTCATGTAATAATCGCTTAACGTCTAAATTAAGAACAGAGCTGATACGTAACTATAAAGACTGGGTTGGTCCATTAGCAGATCTGAAAGAAAATTCGCAATTCATCTTGTTTATTTTGTTGATATTCAAATATATTTTCAGAATCTCTACTGACCACAGATTACAGCTAACTTGATAGTTAAGTGGAAATTTACTAAATTGACTGCTACGCAACGGAAGAAATCCATTTCTTAGATCAGTAGTCAGTCAGTAGATAGATGGCTAGCTAGATTCGAGCATCAAACCAACTCACGTTTTGAGCAAATGATTACAGTGTGCAATATAGCCCATGATTTTTAACATACAAAAGGTGATTCGCAAGATACATGACCACTCAACATGCTAAGTAAGAATTTGTCAACCATCGAAACTACTGTCAACAAAATAATGAAGTCAAAACTTCATGTTCAGAAGAATCTATTACATCTCCATGTCTTTCTATATCCCTTCATGACCCCGATGTTACATAACGTAGTTGCAAGCTGACCTCCGATTATTTCACCCTTGTCTTACAGTGTATTTTCTTGTTCCTTATTTGTTGCAACCACGTAAACATACCCACATTTTAATTCAACTTTTCATTCCCGCATATACTGAATATCCATGAGTTGCAGTTATATCTTTCACCCTCTGAATTCACCTCCTATCCTAAGTTTAATTATTGATTTTCTGAATAAATCAAAGCCCAAGCTTTGTTCAAATATTCCAGTTTTATTATTTTCACATACATAAACCCTACAGTAGATGTAATCCAATTCGTCTAGGAAATTAGAAAATAAAGAATTAACTGTTGGATTTCGAAATCAAGAAAAGAAAAGACAGCAGTTGGGATACCAGAGTTTACAGCGAACCATCGCACTCGAAGAAATATCTAAACTTCACATCATCTCACCCTATACATGTCAAGTAGGTTTGGCAAAGTGTTTAAGTCATCGGGCTAGAAGCCTGACTAGGAAATCAGAAAATCTCAATAATGAAACTGAAATACAAATTAAGAGACATCACTGACTAAAAAGTACCCTTCGGAGTTTAATAAAAAGGTTATAAGGACTTACAAGAGATAGATGATAATAGTGTGTAATAGGTGTAATTGCAATATGCCCAGGAAGGAACTCAAATCCCCTGTAGTGGTGTTATATAAAGAGAGAGAATTCGAAAGTCTACGTAGGAGTCCTAAAACTGCTGAGATTGGAGTGGCATTTAAGCGCGAAAACTCATTCGGAAAGAAAGAATGAGATAAAAGACCAGCTGGATCAAATTTAGCAATACAAATTAACTTATTAAATATCATGTAATGATTGTGAGGTCAAGTTTACAGGTCATAGTAGCCAATGGAACCAAGCAAAAGAATGGAGCATAGAAGTTTAGCGGAAAACTGAACGATGAAGCCAGCTAATACAGGTAGTTTAGAGAAAAATTCAGCTATAAATCTGCATGCACTGACCCATAATCACACTATAGGGTGGAGTAGGGTAAAGTTCTTAAATTCAGTGAAGCTAGGTGAAGTAAGAGACGGATTACAGGATCTTTGTTTCATCTTTCATCAACCTCTGAGTAGTTCCCTGGTAACTTAACATCTTAACCTTCCACTTAATTGATCACATCATCCTAGGGTTCACACAACCACAGTTTTAACCTACTGAGTTCTATTCATTACATTTTGTTTTCTGATTATTACTGGTTTATCTGCTCAACTTACACAATCTCTTGTTCAAGACTACAGTATTCATTTCTCTTTCCCGATAAGATTTATGAGTATTTCGATCTTAAGCTACATGTTTATCACAACACTACATAACATTTTTACTTTATGCAAACTTGTAGTAACCTTGCTTTGCTGTCGCTGTCCTGTTTTAACTTAACTAAAGTTAATATCTTATCGTAAATGTTACAGGTTGGAAGCAGCTGATGAGAACTGTCAAAATAATAAACTGGATCCCAGTCATTCTGCTTGTTAAAACCTGTTAAAGGAAAATAGGTGTATGGAATTTTTGGTAACCAAATCAGCGCGTACAAGAACGATTCGCCATACATTGCAGATATTTCCAAAGTTTTACTGCCATTAAAATAAAAGAAAAAAGGATCGTTAGACTGTAAAACTGATGTTTGAAAGTTATGACTACCTTCATACGATCATAAGCAATAAACTCTGCCCGAAAAATCATCCAATAAACAGCTATGTATCACTGTGTGTTATATAAAATAGAAAATCTAGTATGAAATCATACCCCACCACAGTGCTCAATTTTTACTTAACGTTCATAGTCTTCTCGATAGTGGTAGCACGTAACTCTGTCACATGGAAGGTAGGATTCAGATACTACTTAGCAGCTGGAAAAATTTTAATCCTCAGCTTATCGCTTAGAGATCCTTTAAATTTGTGGTACATATGTCATTTAAATCCAGAAAAGCGACCACCGCCAACCAAATTATCTGAAACAATCAAAGCATTGATTTGATGTTGTTTAGTGAGATCTCTTTGGTGATTTACCCTTAGTTGAACTAATGACGGCTTTTAACTACACCTAGAATAAGACTTTGTTCTATATGTTCGACATCTATTGGTTCTAATATTTGTCCGATCATGGTTGGTACCTTTTGCTTCTTGACTGTTACTTATATGCATTCGTTTCGTGACACAGTGGGCCAATTGTCTATGAAATTTGTGAATATATATATATATATATATATATATATACAAGCTGAGACATTAACTAAGCACTTTTTAAGGTCAAATAACATGTGGTCAATTGTTGGTGGTCGATCTCCCTAGTCACTGAAACAAACGGAGTCTAGACACCTGTGTTTACAATTCCACTTACTCCTGAGGGGTAGTATGAAGCGCCCAATTTTCAAACGCAAGCCCAAGCATTACTCTGCTTGGTTATCGATAGGACCCACACAAGTCTATATTTCGATTCCTAATCACTTAGTCAGTTCTGCATATATAGCTTCACCACAGTCTAGCATCAAGATTATCTACAAAGTGAAAGCGAACAGTTCAAAGGGAGTACGATTTCACATTTTCTACAGAGCCGAGGAAACAGTAATTCACCAATTCAAGCCGTATTTGTAAGCAGAAATAGTTCCAATCCCTCTTTTTTACTATGGTCCTTTAGGAATGGGTCTTATGTGAACTTGACAACCGCAAAAGCCAATCACTAATTATTCGTACATGTTATATACCCACGAGTGTGAGACTAA